AGCGGTTTCGACGCGTACTGAGTGATGTCCGGCAAAAGAGAAAGTGCGCTGAGCGCGAACGCTACACATAGGCGTGGCCACCTAGCGGTCTCCTACCAAACTAAAGCACGCACCAAGAGGGGAGCGAGCGTCACCTGAGCGGTGACAGCGTGCGCACAGCTGTGCTTCTAGCGGGAGTAATGTGCACTAGCGTACACACCGTACGGCCGGGCTAGACTGCACCTGCGCGTGCTTCTTTTCTTACGGTCTTCTCACCCCTCGCGAATACAATGAGAGAGTTTCTGATATAATATAGAACGGAGACAGTCCAAACTGTTATCCGAGACCAGGTAGGAGCGTAGGCCCAGCTATCAAAATCAGCGACAGTCCGGGCCGAGCGTCTCGTGCTTAGCACTGACAATGTGTGTGCCGAGATTTGCATGACCCACTACAATCATCATTACATATTTCCCCCTCGCTGAAGATGGTGCCAAGTAAGTGTTCTAAGGTGTCGTGAGGACAAGTGGTTCGTGATATGGTTTGAGGCGATTCACATGTACGATTTCGCGGCCTCGGCGACGCAGGTCCACAATGGCCGTGAGGGGTTCGATGAGGTAGTTATCAGCGGAAGTTTGTTCTATGACGCGATAAGGTCCATGGTACCTGCTGACAAACTTTGTAGAGGTACCAGGAGCAGCACTGGGGGGCACCCATAGCCAAACAAGAGAGTTGGGCGAAAATTGGTAGTTGGACCGTCCATCGTCGTGACGAAATTTCTGTAGCCCTTGTTCTTGTGTTGTAAGGGTGCGAGCTAATTGCCGACATTCTTCCGCATACCGCGCGGCTTCGGAAAGTGGTGAAACATGGTATGGTCGCTGCCGTAGTGGTGGGTGATTACCTGTGTTGATCTGGTGGCATACGGTAGATGTGCGACCTAAAGTAGCGCTGTGACTGTCAAAAGATGGTCGAAACTTGTCAAGGAGGCTCAAAAGCTCACACCTCTGTTGTGGGTTTAGGCCTTCGTCGATGACACGGTTGAAAATGTCGGTAGTGGAAGGCTCATTCACGGAACTACAGGAGAGGGCGCTGACTTCCGATGATTCATCAGGAACGTCAAGTGTAGCGATGGTTTCGAATGATTCTATCGAACCAATACATTCGCCTCGAAGTAGCGTAATCGTGAATGGGAACGGATTCTTCACAGGCACGTTGGTCGCACCACCTTGAAGAGTAACGAGAGGGGTTGGGAGCGGTGATAGGTGGCGATGAACGAAAGCAGCGAAAGGCGTTAAGAATGCGGTAGCGTAGACGACGGTGGAACACGATACAGGTGAGAAGACAGTAGCGCGTGGAGGGATTTGGGTGTCGTCACTAATGACCAACTTCGCGTCGGAAGGGCGATCGTGCACTGGTAGCGCATCACCAAGGGGACAAAAAGCGACTTCGGCTCGGGCGCAATCAATGATGGCTTGGTGATGGGAGAGAAAATCCCAACCTAAAATGATGTCATGAGAACAGTGCGGGAGTACTACGAACTGGACTGTGTAGGGCGCTCCTTGAATTACAAGTCTGGCAGTACACGGGGCCACAGGCTACACAGGCTGTGCAGTGGCAGTATGAAGACATGAACCCAAGTAATGCGTTGTCAATTTTCGAATTGAACGGCAAACTTTTTCGGTGATGACAGAAATTGCGGCACCAGTATCAATAAGGGCAAGTACGAGTACACCTTCAAGAACAGCATTATTTACATTCGGCGGCGAACGAAGAGGGCTTGTGCTTTGCGACGAGGACGCAGTTCTTGCCTCGGGAACTGCGTCATTTAGTTTTCCGCGTCGATTGTAGGGGGGCGTCGGCGCATCGGGGAGGGCGAGCGTCGACGTGGAGAAGGAGATCGGCGATCAGGAGCTGGTCGGTGGCTTGGACGAGGAGCGTACAATTCGGGGTCGGGGGTGTATTGAGTGTACGTGTAATCGTTCTCGTATGGACGTAGGTTTTCACGTGAGTGGAGTGGGCGGCGGCGGCACAGACGTGCGACGTGCCCAGGTAGACCACACGAAAAGCAGATCGGTCGGTTGTCGGCAGTGCGCCATGGATTAGGGACTCGGCGAAGTGGAGGTCGTGGCGGCTGGGCGGCATAAACAGGAGCATGCTGTGGAGGCGGCGCTTGGGACGTCTGTGGTCGTGGTCGTGCTGCTGCTTCGGCGTACGTCAATGGTGCATTGACTGGTGGCACCAGCTGCGGAGGAAGGACCTCAGACACTTGATCTCGTATAATAGTCCGTAGAGTAGGGCTAAGCGGTGCACTGCGCTCCGGTAGGCCAGAGATGAGCGAGAGTTGGCGGGCAACTTCTTCGCGCACGAAATCTTTGATCTGCGAGAGGAGGACGGGGTCTTGCGAGGGAGTTAAGCCGGACATCGATTCCTGATGTGGGACAGCACGGCGGGTGACGAGACGTTGCCGGCGGAGCTCATCATAGCTTTGGCAGAGCTCGGTAACTTGGGCGACAGTAGCAGAGCTTTTTGAAATGAGCATCTGGAAAGCGTCCTCGTCAATACCCTTAAAATATGCTTGATGCGGTCCACCTCTGTCATGTTCACATCGACGCGCTTGCACAAGTCGATGACGTCTTCTATGTAACTTGTAAAGTTCTCACCAGGCAGTTGAGATCTCGACTGAAGGCGCTGCTCCGCACGAAGTTTGCGGACAGAAGGACGACCAAAGACTTCGCTGAACTTTGCTTTGAATGCTGTCCAGGAGGGAACGTCGGTCTCATGGTTCCGAAGCCATAAGTGGGCAATGCCACTGAGGTAAATGCCGACAGTGGCCCGTCTCGTGGCTTCGTCCCATTTGTTCAAGACACTCACGAGTTCGTAAGTAGCCAGCCAGTCGTCGACGTCGTGGTCGTCAGTGCCGCTGAATATGGGAGGATCCCGCTGACGGACCGCGCCGGAGCACACGATGGCCTGGGAAGCCATAGGAGGAGGGCTTGTGGCAGATGCAGTGGTCATGACAGCAGGTAGAGTCCGGCTTCGCAACTCCAGGATTGCAAGGAGACCCAGCACCTCCACCAATTATAATATAGAACGGAGACAGTCCAAACTGTTATCCGAGACCAGGTAGGAGCGTAGGCCTAGCTATCAAAATCAGCGACAGTCCGGGCCGAGCGTCTCGTGCTTAGCACTGACAATGTGTGTGCCGAGATTTGCATGACCCACTACAATCATCATTACACTGAGTATGTTTCGCCTCCCAGTGACGGTAGGAGTGCAGTGACCCTGACGTTGCATCTTCTACGCCGCGCACACGGCACAAAGTATAGTTTGTCGATGTGAAACGATAGAATAAGGGTTCTCGACGAAGAGTGGAAGGGGGATTATTAGAGAAATCGAGGATAGAGGGAGGGTTATCTACTAAAAGAAAACTAATTTACCAGACGGCTTGCCACTTAATGTAGGTATATATGTGCTCGTGCATAATACAAGCTGAAGCTCAGTGAAAGTGCGGAAGAATCGGCTAATGAGAGGCGTAATTCAGAAGGCATAAACCACTGGCAACGATCAGGGAGATAGAAAAATAATGCTTCACCTGTTCTGCAATCAGAGAACACTAAGCTCATTTGACCCTTGGTCTTGTCGGACGACGACGTTGCATAAGAGAGGTCGCTCACGAAATAACGAATGCGCCTTACCTTTTTTATCTACTTTCTATTTTTCCTTATTTTTCCAAATACATTTGGAGTGTTTTCAGGGCTTATAGCTGCTGCCTGCAGCCTGTCAACTATTTTAAACACTTATGTGTGTTGTATATCTAATGACTAAAAACTGCGTACAACGTGAAAGAAAGTGAAAAAAAGAGAGAGAGAGGGCTTTTGCTGCTGAATAACGTCTTCGGACGGCACGCACATAGAGTCGTGGTGTGCATGATCAAGGCGTTAACACCACCTCAAAATATTGATTCCGGAGACCGCAAGCCCTTTTACACTCCTTTGTACGGCAAGCCACATCCATGAAGAGTGCGAACGATCGTACGTAGCTGCTTACGCTCGCAAGCCGCTTGCCCCATATTTAAAACTGTAGTGCAAATGAGTTCGGCGCTATCTTTCTTGTTCGTAGAACAACATGTTTAAAAATGAAAAATGACAAGATTACAACTTTTCGGCAAGTAAGCAGCTGTTGTTCCGCCTCCATAGGAACAGCATTTCCGCCTCCATAGGAAATGCAGCCGCCGAAGCCGGGATTCGATCCCGTGACCTGCGGGTCAGCAGCCGAGTAGCTTAGCCACTAGACCACCGCGGCGGGGTGCTTTCACTGAACAAGAAGCGGCAAGTGTTTGCACGCAAATAATAAACAGCGACGCGCATTGGGGGGGGGGGGGGGGGGGTTGATACCAGACTATGATGGGACGATTGCTGCAGCGATTGCTGAAAGAAAAAAAATGCATCCCGTCCCAATATTATTGCGAGAGCAACCACCACGCATGCGTTAAGAAAATTGCCGCAGATGCACAGAAAGGAGAGAAAGGGTAGTGTTTCTTCTAGATCAAATAGAATGTGACGGAAGAAATCATTAAGCGTATCCAGACTCTTTTGTAAGGGGTGTGTGGTATGCCGCTTTCTGTCACAAGGAGGCTGTGATCATGGGCGCACTGCAGGGTTTGTGGCACTGCCAGAAAAGTGCACTCTTCGGAGGTGTATAGGTTCAAGCCCAGCAGCATCATCAGGTATGATCGATGCCATAAACCATTTGTGCGTCTTCACTGATTAAGCAACTTGTTTTTCAACGCGCGGTGAGTGGAGAAGCGCGTCCGAACTTGTGTGTTCGCGCACTATATGGAGCGACGGAAGATGGCAGGGTCACAGCGCGCCCCTCAAAAAATTGGCGAGAGGCATGTACAGCACCCGTTGCGAAGGCCGTAAAAAGGAAGCGCGCAGTTGCAGTCTAGCCTGGCCGTGCACACCAGCGCAACGACGAGAGACAACCCCTCAGCGAAAGGAGCAAGCTCCTAAAAGGAAACTCACCTGCGCTTCGGTTCACGTCAGACAAGTAGCACTGTATCTCCGCGGCTGATGGTGTCGGCCGAAAAACTGAAGAGTCATTGTGTAGTGGTAGCAGACCCCAAGTGGGAGAAGACGATGATGCGTTATCACTGTGTAGCTCCTCCCCGGAAGCTGATGACGATACAGCGACTTCCACTTGTGGAAGCACCAAGGTTTCGGAGCTAACGCTCCCGTTGGTCGCTTCAGGTGGGGACACGTTACCGACCGACGTCTGAGCATAGCCGGTCGTAACTGCTCCTTCGGCCATTTTCTGCGGCAGAAAATGAAAAACACATTAGCAATTAAAAATTACTCTCCATACACAAATAATATCCGCCACGTTGGCGCGATTGCAAAGGTGATCTAAAGTAGAGTTACAGCATACAGTCCGACAAGAGTGTAGTAGAAGCGTTTTTGCTGGGCAGCAAAGCCAGCTTCGTGGAACGTTTCCAACGAACCGGGTTGGACGAAGAAAACTCACATATGGAGCTCTAAAAGCCTTCTTCTAAAGAAACCGATCAGCCAACTCTGCTGTTGCCAGCGTACTAAAACCTCGTTGAAACTTCCATCTTGGCAGAAAAGTGCTGCTTGGGCTGAGAGGGTCTTACAACTGACGCTAAACCTTCCTCTGTTTCTAAACCACTGAGTTGCAGCAATGCGCAAAGCATTTTAACCAGCCCGCTTGTGTGCGGAATATCCCAGGGCGGCAGGGAATACGTTGGGTGAATAGTGGCTAGACGCAAAGGCCCGAATTGAAATTTGGCTGTCGAAGCATTCCTTACACTTGAATATAATAGACATGCTGAGCGTTGATTTCGTTATGCTTTTTGAGGTGAATACGTTTTTAAACATCTCAAGGCAGAGGAAAGATTATAAAGCGAAAATTGTAATTCGGTAATGTGCAGCACAAAGGCAGAAGTTAGCACGCCTTTCTTACTAAGAAATTATTTTGCACGAAAAACTCCCTTGATCTGAGGTTCAAAAGGATGACCAGAAATTTTCCAGTGCGAAGATTTTACCTACTGCACTAATCACGAAGGGAACATTTCGCAGTGCTCCATTGAATCTAGAACTCGCAGTACATGTAAAACTATATATTAGAAGAAGGCCATGCACAAAGCCGTGAGGTGGCGGAAGGGTTAAGCAAAAATAAATCTATCTGCCCATTTAACTCAAAAGAGTTGACGACAGTTGACTCTTTCTTGCTTGTTTGAAAATTCTGGCCAATCAGTAGCATCGCAGTGAAGATTAACAGTGCGAGGCACGGAAGTGCGTAAATGGTGGTAATGTTGAAATGACAGAGTGAGAGAATCGACCGTTCGCGTGGGTCTTTCACTTTCCGATTCCTGCTTTAAGTATGTTTCGGCACAAGGCCGCTATCCGAAAAGAAGTTCCGGGAAACATGGCTGATCGTTTCATACATCCACAAGGCCACAAAATCTCCAGCTGAGCTACCCGAAGGCGACAAGACTTCACGGCTGCCTGCATACTACCAGCGCGAGTTTAGTTTAAGTAGCGTTTTCTAAGTGCTCATTCCATCTCCTTTCTTCTTTTTAGGGGCGAAGCTCTTTGCGCCATCGGTCATGCGTCCTCGGTGTATGCAGTAGTTGTAGTAGTCGTCATCGCAGTAGTAGTAGTAGGTAGCCACCTCAAGGGCCGGACTAGAGGAGCGGCACGTGCGCACTCTTTTGATTTGAGGAGGAAACCCGTGCACGCTTATCATAATTAAAGAGATAGACTTTCTGATGAAATAACTTACAGAGCCGAGTACCCGTGACCTTATCTCTAAATACGTTTTCCTTGATTTCGATGCTTACTAAAAAAACTAGTAACAGGGGGACGCAAGGGTTGCCATGGTAAACTTGCTGGGCGTAACCTAATTGGTTTTATACTCGGCGACAGCTTTTCTTGGCACTGAAGGAAAACTTACGGAGGCGGAGCTTCTGCACATGTAGCACTACGCGAAGTGGTCCGTTTTGGCGCGCGTCTCCTAACGCTATGGGAAGTGATGGCGTCGCACCCTCAGAATTCCGGGAAACGCAGACGCCGCTTAGCGTTTGAGGCGAACTTAAATAGGCGGGACTTTCTCGCGCTTTCAAAAATGTGAAATCACCACGAACAAATTAAACACGACCATTTTAATAGTAAGAGCTGTGTCCCGTCTCAAAAAGCTCCACGTAATAAATAAAAAATTGGCAGCATATCCACGGAGTGAATGATAGAGAGTGGGGCGAAGCATTCGTCCATCCATTGGATCTTGCTTCCGTCCATCCATGCATCCGTCTTTGTGACCGTCCATACATCCATCCGCCCATACGTGCGTGCGTCTGTTCGTGCGTCCGTCCCTGCGTTCGTCCATACATCCGCCCCTGCGTCCGTTCATGCGTCCATCCATGCATCTGTCTGTGTGTCCGTTCGTTCATCTGTTCAACACTCCAAGTACCATCATCTCGCATCTTTTCATCATATATTCCTCATATAGAAGCACCGCCATCCAGCGGACATTCCAAGGACTAAACGAGAGGTGGCACAGGCAAACTTTTTCACGGCTCTCGCTTCGGGTCTACTTCCCACCTTTAACGACCTCGAGTTCATGGTATATTCTAGTTCACTGTATTCATGGCACTGTGAACCAACGCTCGCTAAGTCTTTCTAAAACCAAGGAGGTTACGACCAGCGAGTATAACGCAGCAACCTTATTTTCTCAGATAGGGCTCAATGTACATGCCAATGGCGGCTAATGGGAAATGAGAGAGAGGAGAATTCGGCTTTTACTTTCTTACGGCTTGCGCTTCCGGTCTACTTCCCACCTTTAAACACCTCGAGTTAATTCATAGTATACACTAGTTCACCGTATTCATAACACTGTGGCTCAACGCTCGCTAAACCTTTCTAAAACTAAGGAGGTTACACCCAGTGAGTAAAACGTAGCAACACTTTCTTGTCAGATAGTGCTCAATGTGCATGCCAATGGCTGCAAATGGCGATCGCTGCGTGCGCGTTAACTAAAAGCCGAATGCCCCTGTCTCTCACTCCCGATTACCAGCTATTGGCATGTACATTGAGCACTATATTTTATTGTTCAACAACGCACGGAAGAAATTTTTCACCGGCACCACCTTGGAGGTTAAAATCTTATACTTGTTACATACTACAATGGCTACGAGGGACGAACGGGCGCCGCTACAAAGAGCTTCACTCCTAAAAATTACGGCATATCCATGGAGTGCATAATGATGAGTGGGGCGAAGCATTAGTCCATTCGTTCGTACTTGCTTTCGTTCGTCCGTACGTCTGCCCAAGGACTAAACGAAGGGGTGCACATACGGTCTGCGCTTCGCGTCTACTTTACACCTTTCACCATCACTAGTTGATGGCTATATACTAGTTCAATATATGCATGGCACGGCGGTCCCACCCTCGCAAAACCTGGCTAAAACGAAGAGATTACGCCAAGCAAGTTTAACGTGGCAACCATTTCTGGTCACACAGTGTTTAAAGTGCGTCCTTCTGATACTAGTTCTTTTTAGGGGCGAAGCTCCTTATGGCATGGCTTGTGCGTCCCTCGTAGTACGTAACCACCAGTGGCACATACCCGAAATAGGTATAACATTTGACCTCCAAGGTGGTGCCGGTGAGAGATTTCTTCTGTGCGTTGTTTGACAATAAAAAATAGTGCTCATTGTACATGCCAATGGCTGCTTATGGGGAATGAGAGGCAGGAGCATTCGGCTTTTAGTCAACGCGCACGCTGCGATCCCCATTAGCAGCCATTGACATGTACATTGAGCACTATCGGACAAGAAAGGGTTGCTACATTATACTCGTTGGGTGTAACCTCCTTAGTTTTAGAAAGGTTCAGCGAGTGTTGAGCCGCAGGGCCATGAATACAATCAACTAGTATATACTATGAATGAATTCGAGGTGGTTAAAGGGAGGAAGCAGATACGAAGCGCAAGCCGTAAGAAATTAAAAGCTGAATCCTCCTGTCTCTCATTTCACATTAGCAGCCACTGGCATGTACATTGAGCACTATCTGACAGGAAAAGGTTGCTACATTATACTCGCTGGGCGTAACCTCTTTGGGTTTTAGAAAGGTTTAGCGAGCATTGGGCCGCAGTGCCATGAATACAGTGAACTAGTATATATTATGAACTCAAGGTGGTTGAAGGTGGGAAGTAGACCCGAAGCGCAAGCCGTAAGAAAGTGTACGTGTGCCACCTCTCGTTTAGTCCTTGGAATGTTCACTGAATGGCGGTGCTTCTATATGGGGAATATATGATAAAAAGATGCGAGATGGTGGGACTTGGAGTGTTGAATAGATGGACGAACGGACACACAGACAGATGCATGGATGGACGCACGAACGGACGCAGGGGTGGATGCATGAACGAACGCAGGGACGGGCGCAAGAACAGACGCATGGACGGTCACACAGACGGACGCATGGACGGACGAATGCTTCGCCCCACTCTCCATCATTCACTCCGTAAATATGCTGTCATTTTTTTTGGTAAGCTTCAAACTCAAGGGAAATTTTATTGGAGATTGAGTCATCAATATTCGTCCTAAAAAGGTATTTTACAAGGAACAACTATCTTTATTTATGATGGACGTGCTCGGGTTTCCTCCTAAATTGAAAAGGGTGCGCGCGTGCCGCGCCTCCAGTGCGGACGTGAAGGTGGCTACCTACTACTACTGTGACGACATACATCGCGGATGCACGACCCAAGGCATAGGGAGTTTCGCTTTCAAAATTGGGAACTTCTATATTTCACGGTAAAAATACGGGCGCTGTTGTGGAACTACATTCACTGGCGGTAGGATGCCTGTGATTTGGCTCTGTAGCCTTCGCTCCAATGCCTAGAAAAGTTGTCGCAGAGTATAACAAAGTTTAGCGAGGGTTGGGCCGCAGTGCCATGAACTAGAAGCGGTGAAAAATAGAACTAAACAAGAAGTGCAGGCGATAAGAGAGTGCGCGCGTGCCGCTCCTCTCGTCCGGCCAGGCCAGCTCTCGTTTAGTCCTTGGAATGGCCGCTGGATGGCATTACTTTTATATGATCTATATAAATGATATATATATATGCTATATATGATCTATATGTGATCTATATAAATTATTTATATATGCTTGCCACAGGCCTCTGTGGCTAGCATTTTCGGATATAAAGGGAGCATACGTTAGCGTGGTTCAAGAGGAATTGTGGGGAATACTGGACACACTAGGTGTGGAATATGTAGTCACCAATCTCCTAAAGGATATCTAAAATA